GGATGATGGGGGGACTGAAGGGGGGGGGGACTAAATTCACGCCCCCTAATGTGGCACCTGGGGGCAACTGCCCCCTGCCACCATTCCCTCGCTACCCCATTGTACATCATGCATCATCACATGTGAGTTAACTGTAATTAATCGACAGCCCGAGTTTAAAACTACTCCTGGTAGGTGAGAAGGACACAAATGCCCTCTGGAGGATGCGCCACAGGGTTCACAGGAAAGTTTGTTATTTTTCTTGCACCATGTGCTGAAGACTTTTCACCAAACATTGATTCCTACAGATCAGCCTCCGTGCCCCCGCTGGCATCGGCTCACTCTGGGGCTAGGAGCAGCTGGGATCCTCGTCCTGGTGGGAGCTGTGATAGCGATGGGCCTTTGGGGTAAGCACCTCCAAATGAATTCATGGGAAATGCCCCACCCGGAAATATCCCTTCTCCCACTTTTCTGATTCCTCTTATGACTAGTATCCCAGGGTATGTCTACACTACCACCCTAGTTCGAACTAGGGTGGTAAGGTAGGCAACCGGAGTTGCAAATGAAGCCCGGGATTTGAATTTCCCGGGCTTCATTTGCATAAAGCCGGGCGCCGCCATTTTAAAATGTCTGCTAGTGCGGACTCCGGCACGGAGCACGGCACGGACTAGGTAGTTCGGACTAGGCTTCTTGTTACTCCTCGTTACTCCTCAGTTGCTTAAGAGCCTTTGGCAAGGGATCTTCGTCAAAGGCTTTCTGGAAATCTAAATAAACTCTATCCACTGGAGCCCCCTTGTCCACATACATGGTGACTCCCTCTTAAAGAATTCTAGATTTAAAATGGTGTATGGAAGCCAAACCATCAGCAGCATGTCCAGGAAGTTACTCTTACTCTTTGGCTCTGTGTGTGTGTGTGTGTGTGTGTGTGTGTGTGTGTGTGTTAGTTCCCCCTAGTGGCCATGGAAGTACAGGCCATCCTCACTGTAAGTCCAAGATATGTTCCAAAAACCGTGGACTTACAGTGGAACAACTTCAAGTGGGGAATTATTTTATTACTAGCCAATTAGCCCATAATCAAATGGGATTTTCAGGTGTCTCCTCCACATCCTATTCCCTTTCTATCTCGGTCTTCTCTCCTGAGCCTCCGGTCTCTCATTCCATTTCTCTTTCTCCCCTCCTCCTACTGCCTTCCCCTCCCTGCTCTTCTCCGCCTCCTGTCTCTCTCTCCGTCTCTCTTTCTCTTCTGCCTCTCATTCTCTCACCTCCAGCCTCTCACTCCCTGTCTCTTCTCCTCCTGCACAGGGAGCACGGAGTCCAAACAGCTGTTTGCGCTGCTTACTCCCGTGCGACAGCCCGGCTGAGCAGCTGCCTATGAGCTCCAGCTGCCCCCCTGCACCGTTTCCCTTCACCCCAGAACTGATCCTGCAGCCTCCCAGTTGTCCTCCAACTCTCCCTCCCCCTCGTTCCCCTGTCCTCCCCCTGTCCAGGGTCTGTTCACGGCCAGGGGGTGGGGCCTGGAGCCGCTGTCACGCCGCACATCACCGCCCCCCCCCCCCCTTGCCTCCTGCCATGGCGCTCAGCTGACTTCTGCACCACTCAGCAGGGCTGCCCTGAGGGAGCCCAAACTGAGCGGTGCAGAAGTCAGCCAAGAGCCACAGTAGGAGGAGGGGAGCACAGACCCCAATGGCCACTTGCACCACTTGCTCCCCTGCAGCAACCCAGCTGAGCTGCGCAGAAGTCAGCCGAGTGCCACGGTGGGAGGCAACCGCACCCCCCAGAGGGAACAGCCAGCATTTCAGCATTACAGACATTGGGCTACTATATATATATGATTTTCCTGCGACTGACTTCTATTTGTGCAAATTGAGGTGTTTTTTTTTGTGAAACTTGAGTGGGGAATGGGAGGGCTTAGAAAAAATTAATTCCTATGAGCCTCAACGATTTTAGTGTGCAACAGAAGCATGCCAGGGTGACATATAGCGGGGATGCCCTGTACCACATCACTGTTACACTTGACTCCTGGAGCATAAAATATGTAACTAGCAGTCTTGTGCCTCAGGGAACACACGGACAGGGGAGGTTATCGGGGCCCAGAGCTCAGTAGGATACATAGAAGGACAGGACTTTGATGTGGATAATGAGACCATTCTGAGTTAGCTCCTGGACACTACCTCGTGGGCCAGCCACTGACGGACAGAAGCGTCTTCCTGACTCCTCCAGCCAGGCCACTTTCTCTTGGAATGAGGGTGCGACCAACTAGAACATAGTCGAACCTTCCCTCTCTGGAAGCCCCTGACTGCATTTAGGGGACATGTTCCCTGGGGCAGGCATTGCCACCGCTGCCCTCTAGGGGGTGTCTAAGCTCCCTCTGGGTGCTGGCAATTCTCCCAGCTCGGATGTTTCCTGCTAGTCTGATGGGATCTGGGCTGGGAGAGCCTGTGTTGCCCTTGGTGGCCCTGCTTGTTCTCCACAGATACCAGGGAGGGGACAAGCTCTCATCCTGGGTTCTCTCTTTTTTTTTTTAAGGGGAAAAATCTAAGCTCTCTTCTCACCCCCCCTCTGCTGCCTCCCCGTGCCCTGACGGCTGGATCCGGCTCCAGGGGAAATTCTACTATTTTTCTAATTCTCAAGGGAACTGGAGCTACAGCCAGAGCTTTTGCTCCTCACATGCTGCCTCCCTGGCCGGGATTGAGAGTCCAGAAATGCTGGTGAGCAGCTCAGGTGCTTTGTGCCCAGCCCAGCGATCGCCGGCACCACAGGCCAGGCTGGGCCCAGCCCATGCAGGGCAGAGGGAGCCGGGTGCCTCCCTGGCTGGGTGGCTGGAGTCAGTGTGAATCTGGCAGCTGAGCCCTGGCTGGGCTTTGGGCTCCAACCTCCCCGACCCTGCACCTGCTCAGAGCCCTGGTGGGAGACTCCTCGTGAGCAGAGCTAGTCTGGCTCAGTTGGCTCCGGGCCCATGGGCTGCAAGTGGTGAGACCCTGTCCAAGCCCCAGGATTCCCTCATGAGCAGCATGGAGAAAATCCAGCTCAAGTTGAGGCCTGCTCTATGCCCCCTGCCTTCAACCACCTTGCCCTGGAGGCAGGGTCTTTTTGCCCTCCGCCCACAGCTCCCTCTCTCCCTGGCCCTGCTGTGCCCCAAAAAGGGGCTGCTGGGCAGACAGTGATTGTGCAGCTCAATTCCTGCCACAGTCCTCCCAAAAAACAGGTCCAGGGAGGGGGGAGGGTTAATACCTCTCACAATGGAAGGGGCATGTAGAAACCCCCAGCTGCACCGGTGGGGGAGCAGCGGCACCGAGTCAAAGTCAAACACAGCTGATTTCTTGTATTGGGTTTCTAAGGCTTCCCTGCTGCCCTACCCAGGCAGACTGGACCACTGGATCGGCCTCTGGAAGGGCACAGATGGGGTCTGGCACTGGGCCAATGGGACCAAGTTCGACCATCAGTGAGTCTCTTTTTCTCTGCTTTCACTTCCCCTCCTGCCAGCTGGGGAGACGGGTGCAGGGAGGAGGATTCCAGGGGGCTGTGAGTGCAGCAGCAACTCTCCCTCGCCTGGAGCATCTCCCTCAGTCTGCGCCCTGCACACACGGACTCTAACACCTATCGCCTCGGGCTTGCAGGTTTGGAATACAAGGAGGAGCCGACTGCGCGTACCTGGATGAAGATCTCAACATCAGCAGCTCCAGCTGCAGCACCTGGAGAAAATGGATCTGCAGCAAACCTGATGCCCCGCTGTAAGAAGAGGCATGTGTAGTGGGAGGAGAGGGGGGGAACTAGACAGTTCAAGGACACTGGAGGTGAGAGGTGGGAAAACCTGTTCTGGTCCCCTTCAGCCAGGGCCGGATTAAGACCTTTAGAAGCCCTAAGCACTGAAAAGATTATGGTGCCCCCCCATATGTAATTCAAAATAAAAAACAATACTATACTGTAAAATCTTTGTGTGTGTGTGTGTGTGCCTCTGCTTTGCTGGCACCCTAAGCATGTGCTTAGTCTGCCTATTGGATAATCCAGTCCTGCCTCCATGCTGTATCCTGTTTCCTTGTATGCCCCATCACCTTGCTCCTGCCTCCATGCTGTATCCTGTTTCCTTGTATGCCCCATCACCTTGCCACCCTAAATTACTTGGATTCACTCTTCTGTGCTCCTTCCTTTGCAAGCCCTTTCCTAAACAACAGTCCCAGTGACACTTCCTTCCATGCGGGCTGTTCTCAGCCTGCTCCAGGCACAGCTAGAGTCTCTCCCCTGGAGGGCCAACCACCAGCAGCCGCTAGAGCTCCCTGCTAGATCCAAGCCCCAGCAGGGAGCTCCTGGACTGGAAAAGACTCCACACCGGCTCTCTCCAAAATGGAGTCCACCAAGTCTCCCTGCGCTGCCTGGAAGAGAGCAACACTTTCTTTTTCAATCCCCCCAAAGAATCATGGGAATTGCAGCCTCTAGGGCAAGCATGTCAAACATGCAGCCTGTACGCAGCCCGATCAATTTTTTTTTGCAGCCTGTGACTATGTTTATAAACTGTCTAAGTGTGGCCTGCCTGATTACATTCTTTATAAAGTAGATATGGAGCCATGGGACCTTCCAAGAAAAAAAACTCTCAAGTTGCACGTGTGCACGGAACCTAAGTTCCTATTAAGCTGCACACAGGCAATGCTGTGGCAGCACGTGATCTTGTACCAAGCGTAACCTAAGTTGCTATTAAGCTGCACACAGGCAATGCTGTGGCAGCACGTGATCTTGTACCAAGCTGTCACGTTATTTGATTTTAAGGGGAGCAGCCAGATCACTGCTGCACCCCTGAGGGAGTGTTTGTAACCAAAAGGTGGTACAAAGGGGGCCATGTGAGGTGTCAAACAAAAGCTCACTTTATACTGATTCTGTACATGCTCTTCATGTATCTGTATAATGTCTGTGTGGAGTTAGGAATATGTACCCTGTATGGAGACTGGAATTTTCTCTGTATGTGGTTGAGCAATGGGCTCAGCCTATGGACATGCTAATTAGCAAGGCTCCAGGGACAATAGGTCTCTTAAGTACCAGAGACCCCCCTATGAAGAAATCTAGGGCCCTGGTCAGAGACCATGTGATTCTCACCAGCTTGGAAGAAGCCAGGCAGAGTATAAATATGCCACATGGCCAACTGTGACGGCACGTTGGGGGTCCCCCGTCTCCTGCACCCCGAAATGGCACAAACAGACTGCACCAGCCGGTGGAATAGAGGAAGTTTATTGCCTCTCCAGGATACAGCACAGCACAGATGTAATCTGGTCACAGAGCTGGGCTAGGATACCTCAGGCCCCCTTGAGATGGGGGGAGACTGGGCCCCTAAACTCCAGCCCCTTTCCCTAGGCTGTCTCCTCCATGCTCCCAGACAGCCACTAACCAACAACCTTCCAGCCCTGCCCCCCAGCCAGGACAGCATTCCACCTTCCTTTGTTCCTCTCCATGGGGGGTGGCTGGCCATACTCGTTTGCATAGTGACTCATCCTATTTTGCTGGGTCGTGGTACCCACGGCAGCCAGTGGGGGTTACCCCAGAGCCAGCCGCATAGAAACCAGCCAGGTTCCCCCACTACGTCACACCAACTCCATCTTGGTGCTCAGCTCAGCTCTTCATCCCAGAGGCAGCAGTGCAGTAATCAAAGAGCCGAAAGGAACTGTGGTTCCCTCCTGATGTAGGACGTACACCAAGGACTTTTAAGCCAGCAGTTATAACATCTCTGCTGCAGCCTGCATCGAGAACTGGGAGATTCAATGCACTTAACAACCTTGCTCTCATGCTTTTCTTTCTTGTAGTAAAAAACCTTTAGATTCTAAAGGATTGGCTCAGCATGATCTTGTGGGTAAGATCATTATTGAGTTTGGAACTGGGTGTGAAAGGTTGCCCTACTGTACTGAAGTCCATTGGCTTTCTTGTTTGAGAGTTTTGGAAACTATGAGAAGAAATTATTTTCATTGAAATGAAAGGACAAAACAGACTTAATAAAGATAACTGGGTACAAGCTATATCATTTTTGGTTGACATTAGCAAACATCTGTGTGACTTGAATTTAAAACTTCAAGGGAAGTGCTAGGTAGTGACTGCTATATATGGCAATATAAAAAGCTTTTATGACCAAACTTTGTCTTGGGAAACACAGTTTAAAAAAATATTTAACACATTTAATTACAGGTCAAGACCATAAAAGCAAACACCCTAGTTCACATTTTGCAAATTATGCATCAAATATTGTACTGCTGTGACATGAATTCAAGGAGATATTCCAGGATCAAATCATGTGAAGATAAGTAGTTCTTGTTTACAGCACCATTTCTTAATGATTTTCAAAAGGCTGAAGGAAATAAGCAAATGGAACTTACCATAATTCAGTGTGACTTTCTTAAAACACAAATATAATTACCTTGGCATTTTTTATTTCTCCAGCTGTGAGGCAATTTGTTGAAGTACATAAGTTTGTGTCAAAAATATTGTCAATGTTTGTGTAAGCAGGGGCTGAACTGCTGCTTGCTATCAGCCAGCTAAAAGGAGGGGTGGGTGTACCCACTACAGTTGTTTAGCTCTGCAAGGTAATTAACTGTTAACATGTAAATACTGCTCAGGAGAGAATCCGAGGTGTGGCTATGTAAAAATCCCATTCAGCCAGGGCTGATGGAAGGTCAGTGTTGGAATGGAATGTGGAGAATTGTATATAATTTGGGACTGTTGTGGGGGTAACTAATCATGCTACCCCTAAATGTGGGAACTGTAAAACATGCCACCAGTGCTTGCAGGAGAGACACCACCATCATGGTAAGAGGACTCGGAAGAACAAGCCTCCCCCCTTCCAGAGTTGAGTGAACTGAGCTGGGGGAAAGGGTTAAAAGGCTTAAGTCAGCCTGCTTCACACCTGCTAGGTGTGAACCTGGCCCAGCCTGGATCTTTTCCCCTTTGTTTTAAGGTCAGACCTAAAGCAGGCTCTGAGGAGTCTTTTCTTTTGCTAGTCCAATGAAAGCTGGATTTATTTGGCAGGCCAGCTGGTGGCTAAAGAGTTGAAATCACTGGTTTGGCTGAGAGCCAGACCTATTGCAGCCAGTGGTGTGGCATGGAGCAGAGGTAGGCAAGGAGTGGCCATCAGTGGCGTGGCGTGGAGCGGGGGCAGTCAAGGTGCAGCCACAAGTGGTGGCAGCAGACAAGGCGTGGCAGCAGGTGCCCAGCGGAGCATCCAGAGGTGTGGGACAAGACAGCTGGTGGAGCGTGGCAGAGTTTTGTCCGTATAAGATGCCCCCATCTATCCCTCTACCCAGGTTAGGAGGTGAAACCCTGCAGGTGAACTTTGGGACTCTGGGTGGCACAGACCAGGGACAAGAGACTTTTGGGGTGTCTGGAGATTCTTGGCTGGGGTGGGGGCTTGGCTCATGTTTGGGGTTATGAACTCTGTGGTATTTTCCCCAAGTTAATGCCGTATGACTTCTCTCTCTGTTTCATTAAATGTTTCTTTCCTACACTCAGACTCAGTGCTTGCGAGTGGGGAAGCATTGCCTCTCAGAGGCGCCCAGGGGTGCATGAATTTCCCAGTTTACTGGGTGGGGGCTCGAGCCGGTTCTATGTGAGATGGACCCCAAGATATTGAACCCAGCCCGGGTTACTGCCAGGCCTACCCGGGTAGCACATACTTATGTGAACTACTGTTTTCACTTATAAAATCCAACAAAACACCTGAAAGGTCAAAGGTAAGTGAACATTTATCAGCAGTAATTAAAGTAGCATCAGCTCAAAAGAGCAAACCAAAGATTGGAAAACTGGTATCACAAAAGCGGTGTTAGCTCTCTGGAAAGAATACTCATGACTGAAATGCTGCAGGTTTTAATTTGAAGTTGTTATGCTATTATATTTTATTCTTATGCAACTGTTGTATTTCTTTCTCAATGCTGAATAATAAAAAAGTGATTTAATATTTTTTTATTTATTTCCAAATAAAATCACAAAATTATATTTATTGGTACAAAATGTGTCTTTTTTTGCAATCATATGAATAATTAGGATTATGCAAAATCTGAAACTTTATAGTCTGGTTAATCAAACAGGCTTCTGTGAATTTTATATACTTATTTTTCTTTCAACAAGTTCTCATAAATATAGAATAATTTATTAAAGTACTTTACATTTTGAACAACAGTTTCACACATTTTATGTACCAATAATTTATAAAATATTAAATATAAATTATCAATTAAATGATTATTTAATTTCAAGTCAGTCAAACAAGACCTGAAAAAATATTATAAAGTATACCTAAACATAATCTATAATAAATTACAACTTTCTGGTAGGGCCATGAAAGAAAATATACTTCTGTCAGTTTGTCTGTGCAGCCCTCAGTAGGCTTCAAGACCTCTGGGTACTAACACTACAATGTTAGTTCGAACTAACGGACGTTAGTTCGAACTAACATTCATAGGCGCTACACTAGCGCTCTGCTAGTTCGAATTTAAATCAAACTAGCGGAGCGCTTAGTTCGAACTAGGAAAACCTCATTTTACGAGGATTAAGCCTAGTTCGAACTTACTAGTTCGAATTAAGGGGTGTGTAGCCCTTAATTCAAACTAGTGGGAGGCTAGCCCTCCCCAGGTTTCCCTGGTGGCCACTCTGGCCCACACCAGGGAAACTCTATTGCCCCCCTCCTGGCCCCGGACCCCTTAAAGGGGCACGGGCTGGCTACGATGCCCGTGCCAGGTGCAAGCCTGCCAGCA